TTTGCGATTGGTCACAGCCAGAGGCCAAGAACACTGATATAGCCAACGAGCGCGTAAAACCTGACCGTTGCTCCAGTTCGGATTTTGCGATTAGAGAATTATAATTATTATAACGAAGAACAAATGGACGATGCACGTGCATGGTTGTGAATGAAAACAATAGGCATTCGCTAAGGCCTAGAAACCGGTTGAAAACGAATGGTGCTGTCGACTGTCTGTTTGACATTTTGCCGCTTCCGGTTGTGCTTTCTGTCATTCATTTTATTTAAACGGGATAGGTCTGAAGAGTTTTTAATTCTTGAGTGACAATACGAGGCATAAATGATAACATTTTTTATTATCAGGGAAACGAGTCAACTGGAAAAACAAAGAAATGTTTCATTTCATTGAACTTTATGTGTTGTAGTTATTCTGTCAAGACATATTTTCACGTGCAAGCAGTAAATTCTTCGGGATAAAAAACCTTTTACTTTTAAGGTGCAAGTGTTTTCCCATTCAGGTAATTTCGATTTGCGTTGGGCAGCAAGCACCATATGCCATTTTGAAACAATTCTAATTAAGTGAGGAGTCAAGCATCCGAAAGACAGACGAATTACTCTGGTAGACAATCCGCTGCTTCTGAGATTGAATGAACAAATCTGGATGCCTTCCTACAATGAACGTGGATTCATTTTGGCGATGGATATAGTATGCCGAGGAATTCTTTACCACTGAGTAATAGCGAGAAGATTCGGCTGAAGAATATTAGGGAACGAATATTAATTTTGCAGAAAAAAACTGTAAAATGCTTAAAAAGTGGCAAGGATGAAGACATCAGTAAAATCATTTAAGCAGACCACGGCTCCGTGACATTTGAGTACATGTACAGCCAGATGCCCTTCGCATCCTTTGATTTATTAGAGCTATTTTGCGCTCACTACGAATGATGTTCCAAAAATTGTTTTTCCCTATAATAATCAGGAGGCTGTTTCTACGCCTGAGTATGCCTAATAAAAAGACACGCCTTGAAATCTAGTCTTGGAGGAGTTATTCATTATTACGCTCTATGGTGCATCAGATTTTTCATCTGCGATTGGCATACATTAGGACAGCTAGAACCTTGTTCATATGTGAATAGTTTTTCTATTTATTCCAGTTTCAGTGTTGTTTATTTCGAAACAACTTTAATTTTATCTATACTGAGAAAACTTGAGGTTCAGAAAACTTTCAAGTAATAAAATTTTCAGACTTAAACGGCCATTAGCCTCGTATGGGCAAGGAAATTGAATAAATGTTTCTATACCGGTAGGATTATTTGGAATGATCGTTGTTTTAATGGTATTATTAAAATGAATATCATATCGACAAAATCATTACCATTAAAAAAAAAGTTTATTTTTACGTGATTACATTGCACTTGTCAGTCAATAGTTTTATAGTCTTTCAAAAATGGGAGTCGAATGCCAGAGACAAGTGATGTTGACTAGTATATTTTAAAGTGCCCTTTGTTACTTTTCAAAGTCATATGCATTTTTAAGATAGGCATGACCTATGATATTAATCTTCTGTATAGGGGAACAAGGTTTAACTTTAGGTCACCAACCTAATAGCAGAACTATTCAAAATGAACCTAGAAGAATAACGCCCCCGGAAACAAGTACAGTTCATCTTCTAAAACGCAGGATAACAACTATATAATGTTTAATCCTATACACAGCTAGCTCACGATCGTGAGAAACAAAATCGTTGCATATCTTGCTCCGGATTCAGCAATGATTGCGCACTCCCTGAATTCGAAGTAAACAATTCGAATAATTCAAAGAAAAAATTTATTTGCTTAAATTAGTGTTGTAAACTTTAATCGAAAGCCAATGCCTAGACTCTTTTGGAAACATGATATGCTGTCGTAACATAAAACTGGTCAGTCGCAGAGTTTCAAAGCCTGGTATAATTTTATGATTATATGTGAAATTTGACTCAAAATGCTATAAATTTTCTGGAAAGTGGTTTGTTGTACTTTACCTTCTGGAGAGACGATATTACTTTGCGCAATGATCAATTCACTGCACCTGCAGATCAAACTACGATAATTTTGAATGTGCTTTCAGGATCTTCAAGACATCACAGCAGTGCTGCTAGACTCCTACCTAAAGTCCATCTAGATGTGAACTTAATATAAAACTCGGTGTTGTCAACTTTCTGGTGTAGCCGTTCATTCTCTTCATTACATTGCGACAACAAAGACCGAAGAATTGTTAAATGGAACTTAGTTCTTTTGCAACAAGTGGTGTTCAAGTTATAAACTTGCATAACGGCCCAAAACCATGCTGTGTTACTCTGCAACTTGAACATCATTATTTGTAATCAAACGGGCTTCAGCTAAAAGTTGTTTGTTCCGTTCTGTTGATAGCTGATTTATTTACTGGTTTGTTTTCATCATAAACAAATAAAATACTAATGTCCAAAGATTAGATGCTCGTCAAACATTTCATCTCCTGTTGTTAAATGTGCAGTATGGACTGGAAACGGAGTCAACCCATCCGCTTTAGCATTCTTTCCAGACGTCTTGAAAATGAGTGAAAAATTTCTGTCGTTAAAGAAGCCGCGATGTTACCTCTCTACTGTCCAATCTGTTACGAGGAGGCATGAAAGGAAACTATGGACGAAATGCACGTCAGAAGATGGCGATATACCATTTAGCCCATTCATAAATGAGGTTATAAGCTATCAGTCAACGATTATGAAGCGATTAGAGGTTTAATGAATTTAATTTTTTTCGCTTCAGCTAACGATACCGCAATTTTTGAAGCTCCCAGGATTGGTGGAAAATATTTAAACAAGTAATGTATTGTGTGCAAAAGAATAACGATTTGTATGAATAACCATAGCTACAAACGAATTCTGTAACGGAAATAGTCAGGGCGATTCAGT